CTTAGACTACAGCTACTTACCGAACTGGGATTAGTTATTAGGGAATGAATATGTTATGCACATTTTAACACCTGTGAGTTGCCAAATACATTGTCCAGTTTCATTCTGTCACTCTCCATTCCTACTTTGCTTTATTTATTCATTTATTTATTTTTGTTCCCAAAGCAAATGTGGTCAAATATCAGTACTAGTAGACCAGTTTATATTCTTCCATGTTTTCTCAATTGTATAATATACTAAGTCAAACTTATTAAACATTGTGTCTATTCCTCTGTGGTAGACTACAAATGAAACAGTGGGAAGTCTGAACCAGGAAGATTAAGAGTTAAAATGTCTTTGGACTCTATTCAGCAAGCTTCAGGAAAATACTTGGGTGCAATCAAGTTCTTGTCTCAAAAAACATAAAGGCAGAAAAGAAAAAAAAACACACAACAAAAACAGGAATTGAACCAAAAGTTTAAATTAAATTAGGAATTGCAAAATTGCCCTTGTTTTTATAAAAATAAGGCATAAAGCTTTGTGGGCAATGATGAGTGTTTTATTATTTTAAAATTTCTTTTAGAGAATAATAATTTTAAGTAAATTATAAAAAAATTTATTTGTGGAGCCTAAAAGTACAGGTCAACGGTACAGGTCTTGGCTAGCATACACAAGACTCTGTGTATTTGTCCATCACTGACAATAAAAAAAGGATGGCAACCGATATGAAACTCACCGGTGCTGATGTAGTCCCTATGCAAAATCAAGGTGACTTTAATAAGGTAAATCACCTTTTTCTAAAGTAGAACATACATATAACATTTAATTTTTTAAAAAAATAACATTTTATATAGGGCAAAGCTCAAAGACATTGACATATCTACGATAACAGAGGTCATAAATCCTGTTCATGAATGCCAATGAACTATAAGAATTAATGTTCAAAATGTAAATGAAATTTGGAAAGTATCATGAACAAAATGAGTTTGACAAACAGAAACAAACAAATAAAACAACAACAACAATCAAAAACATTAAGTGAAACCAGATAGCAGATTAGAAGCACACAACCCTTTTCAGCCTAAGCAGCCTAGAATTATGGCTTCCTAGTGAGGCAGGTATCTAAGTGGTTTTTTTTTGTTTTTTTGTTTTTTTAAAAAAACAAACAAACAAACAAACAAACAAGAGTCTTAGAAACTTAGCTTTGAAGTTTGGAAAAACCAGAGACTTGGTGTAGCAGTTAGCCTAAGCCTCTGTTTTGTAAGAAATGGCTAGTCTAGCCTGATTCATGGGAATTCAGACTCTGAACCATCAACCAGCGAGCCTGCATGGCACTGACCTTCTGCATATATATGACAGTTGTGTAGCTTGCTCTATTTGTGTGACTCCTGGCAATGGAAGCATGGCTGTCCCGGGTCTTCTTGGTGGTTCTTGAGAACCTATTTCTCATGCTGGATTGCCTTGCAAGCCTGGATAGAAGGGGAGGTACTTGGGCTTATGGCAGCTTGATATGTCATGTTTTGCTGATGCCCACTGGAGCACTGTCCCTTTCTGACTGAACACAGAAGAAGGATGGAGGGGAGATGATGGAGAGGGTGGAAGGAGAGAAGGGAGGGGAGATAGTGTTTGGGAAGTAAAATAAATAAATTAATTTTAAAAAATAACCAGAGACTTAGAAAGCCTTTGATTCTGGTCATTAGAACAGAGGGTGTGAAAGAGTACATTATCACTGAGCCCAAGTTTTCCTGGCTGTAAGGTGGAGGGGAGGGTTATTAAAAAGGGAAAATGTGGTTGGTGTCACTAGGGAAAATGGACAAGGAAACATGCAAAATAAAAATGCTGACTGAACTCAACTAATTTGGGAGCTGTATTTTAGGCTACTACTTGAGAAGAAGTACTCTGCCTTTCTCAATATGAAAGCCTGCTTTAACAAG